GACCGGACGGGCACCCGCTGACCCCGGGTCGCGGGCCGCAGCCCCAGCCCGGGGGAGCCCCGGTGGCCCCGATTGGCTGGTGTGTGATTGCCTTAGCCTGTCCGCCGCGGCAGCCCGCCGGTGGGCGGTGCGGTGCTTCCTCCCGTCCCGGCCGGCCTGTCGCTTGTAAACAAAACGTCCTGCTAACGTCCCCTCGTCTTTCCCTGGCGGAGCTGGGAGGCCGCGTCTGTTCCTTTAACCTGGCCGGTGTGGCACTGTGGGAAACGGGGTGACCCTGGCGACAGAGGGATAGTGCGGCGTGCGTTTATTGTTATTATTTTTTGATGGAAGGATTATGAGCGGAAGGTGGTTTTTGTCGCCTGCGGTGTGTCCTTTTTAATTAGGTGCCGCTGTGGGCCTCGGCCCTGGGCAGTCGTCCGCAGTGCAGATCTGGCGGGAGGTGGTGGGTTGCGAGGATAGCAGCCCCGGGCTGTTTCAGAAGGTTGAGCTCTGGGAATCCCGGGTGGGAGCCAGCGTGGTAATTCTTATCTCCCGTCGATCGCAAGAGGCCGGAAGTGGTTGTGATGGCAAAAGTGTTATATCACCACCCTCTAGGGAAAAAGACTAGGGTGAGCTGGAGGCGCCCTGAGTTCAAGTACCCCCGCTGGGAAAATAGGGACTGTCAATTACGATTACAGTTTCACAATCAGAAAAGTGGCTCCCAGGGTAGGTCTAACCGGTAACAGGATGCAAATGACGTTACTGTACAGAGAGAGACCCTGGAGAAGCACCTTCAACTAGTGATTGGCCTAGAGTGACAGAAATTTTCTTGTGACCCTAGTATCTATTTGATTAATGTTATATTAAAACATGTCTGAAATAGTTTAGTAGGGCCTGAGTTCTCATTCTCTCTCCCTTTTCCTTTTTCCTGCCAGCCTTGGGGCTTGAACTCAGGGCCTGGTCGCTGTCTCTGAAATTTTGTTGTCAAGGCCTGGGCTGTGTCACTTGAGCCATAGCTCCATTTCAGGCTTCTTTGGGGGTGAGGTGGGGTAGGTTTATAGGCAATAAGAGTTTCCTGCTTGGACTGGCTTTGAACCACTTTCATCTCAGGCTCCTGAGTAGCTAGGATTACATGTGTGAAGCAGTTATTATTTTTTCCAATAGTTTTAGTAAGAGAAAATTGGTTAACCTAAATGTCCTGTTTCAAGTTTTGAAGATACCTGCATTCCATCTTTTCATCTACAGAAAATATAAATTTCTGTCATTTCAATTTTAATCTTTATCATAGGGTGCCAATCTGTTGGGTAGGTGAGCATTCCTTTTCCCATCTTACAGAGAATGGGATTGAGGCTCATCGAATTACTTGTGGGTGTCAGTGTCTGCCTGCTGTGTACTGGGTATTTATTTCTGCCCATAATAGGGTTCGCAGTTACTTTCAGTGTTTTCACTTTGGAGTATTTCTGTGTATTTGTATATTTGTCCTGTTCTAATGTTCAAGTCTGCTGTGTATATAAGCATATAGAGTTTTGGAACAAATGTGCACTAAAAAAAAGTGGCTTTCTAATTTTGAAGAGACTAGTGTATTAACTCTTGGGGGATGTTATTAAAGTTGTACAGTATGACACAGTTTGATTCTAGGAAGGATCCAGATTTATGAAACCAGAAAGGTTATTGACTAATCCCTAATTGTAATCACTTTGGTGTACTTGGTTTTAAGATAAATCTTTTATTTATGTTGTATATTATGTCAAACTAACAAATGTGAATATATACAAATTTTCATTTCCCCAATGTGAGTGCTGTAGAATTTTAGCCTATTTAAAATAATATTGTGAACTATAAAAAAGTAAGTCTGTTGTAATTAACATAGCATTTATTTATTTAGGCATGTGGGCACATTCTATGACAGTACGGGATTATCAAGATCTTATAGATCGAGGATGGAGAAGGTAAGGCTCTTCATAGCAAATATACTTTCTGCTATTCCTCAGGTTGTTCTTATCATTGAAAAGTAGGGTTTGCCTTTAAAATATTCTCATTAAAATTTGTTCTTTAACATTAACTCTTGTTTAAATAGTTACGCAAAGGGGTTTTAATTCAACATGTCAGTTTATGTATACAGTTCATCTTGATCATTGTCACCCTTTCTATCATTCACTCTAAAATATTTTCTTGTATTGGGAAGAAGTTTAAGAAAATGCTCATTTTGGGCTGGAAATGTGGCTCAGTGGTAGAGTGCTTGTCTTCCATGAATGAGGCCCTGCGTTCGATTCCTTGCACCACATACACAGAAAAAGCTGGAAGTGGCCACTGTGGCTCTAGTGGTAGAGCACTTGCTTTGAGCTGAAAAGCTGAGGGACAGCTCCCAGGCCCAGAGTTCAAGCTCCACGACTGACAAAAAAGAAAAGAAAATGCTCATTGTTTCCATGTGGTAGCATAATCCTGCAATCCTAACACTTGAGAGGATGAGTCAGGAGGATTGAAAGTTTGAGGCCAGCCTGGACTATGTAGGGTTTTTAAAAAAAATCTCAAACCATTCAAAAGAGAAAAGAACAACCATAGAAAACAGAGAAAATATTTATTCTGTTGCATGATGATTTTGTTCTTGGGAAATTTTATCAGGAAAAATTTAAAACACACAGGAGAGTACATTGTGAGGAACCTTGTGTTCTGTCATTAATCTTCCAGTATTTAAAATTCTGCCACTCTTACTTCATTTAGTCTCTGTACATTCCCTCATTCCCAGAGTACTTTACAGAAAATTTTATAGTATTTGATTTTCATCTTTTTTGACTAATCTGTATTTCCTTATTATTTCAGATAAACCTGTAATAAGTCTGTATCTCTTAGAGAGAAATCAATCTATTTTTGCTTTTTTGTTGCTTTTGTTTCATTGTGGTGTTGGCAGTGGAGCCTAGATGTCTTTTCATAGCTGACTCTAACACTAACTAGCATGTTCATCAAGTAGTCAAGTGCTCAACATGTGTACTTTGAGACATGTCCGCAGTACCTTGTTATATATTACAATATTAATAAAATTCTTCAATGTTACCTGCTTACTACATTTTTATTAGGTTTTCTTTGTTTCACATTTTAATAGTTTGTTGATTTTATGTGGAGGACTTTTTGCCTTATGTAAATACTAGCAACATAAAATACTCAGAGCCAATATTCTCTAAAATACGTGGGATTGCATCTAGCAATTAAAATGTTACAGTGTTCTTTAAACTTAATAGTGAGACTCAAAAGGTAAATAGATGTAAGTCAGATATGGAAGTGCTTTGTATCCAGTGATTTTGTATCCCATTTTTTTTTTTTTTTTACCACTTGAGCCATAGCGCCACTTCTGGCTTATTTTTCTTTTTGCTTATGTGGTGCTGAGGAATTGAACCCAGGGTCTCATGCATGTAAGGCAAGCGTTCTACCACTGAGCCACTTTCCCAACCCTGTGTCCCTTTTCTTAAAATTAAGGAGCAGCTACTGAAGGATTTTATAAAAGTGAGATGGAAAAGGATATTTTTAGATGAAGACTGGCTGGTGACCATGGAGGCATATCAGGACATGAAAGGCTGGGACTAGTGGCTTAGTGGCAGTAATTAAAGATGCAGTTCACATATAGAAATCCCATGAGAGGAAATAGAGGGTAATCGGAGGAAATAGTCTAAAATAACTGTCAGGTTCTGGCCTGAAAACTGAATGTCTACCATTAGCCAGGATCTGGAGTACCTAGAAAGAATCATGCTAGTTTTTTTTTTAATTTAATATTTTTATTGTCAAGGTGAGGAGAAAGGGGGGTTACAGTCAGGTAATGAGTACAGTTTTTTTCAGTCCTGGGGCTTGAACTCTGGGCCTAGGTGCTGTCCTTTAGCTCTTCAGCTCAAGGTCAGTGCTCTACCACTTGAGCCACAGCGCTACTTACAGTTTTCTGGTGGTTAATTGGAAATAGGAATCTCACAGACTTTCCTGCCCAGGCTGGCTTTGACTGGTGATCCTCAGATCTCAGCTTCCTGACTAGTAGCTAGGATTATATGTGTGAGCCACCAGCGCCAGGCTTTTGCGGGGGGGGGGGGAGGTTGGTATTGAACTCTGGGCCTGGACGCTGCCCCTGAGCTTTTCAGCTCAAGGCTACTGCTCTACCACTTGAGCCACAGCGCCACTCCCGATTTTCTGAGCAGTTTATTGGAGATAAGTGTGAGCCACTGGTGCCTGGCTTACATTTCTTTTTAAACACTGTTACCCTCTCCCTCATTTTCTCCTGCTTACTTGTAGCCTCCTACCCTCCTGCCCCTAAGTTGTTATAGTTCTTTTCCAATGTAGTGTCTAGTGGGTATCACGGTTGCATTAGTTCATCCTTTGTCTTGCTGTTTCTGTGATTTCCTTTCCTTTCATGGATCAGATAAACTTATATACAAGACAAAGGATACAGAAAACTAAAACAGAAAAAACAAACTGCAAATAGGGCATAATAAGAACCTCTTGTTTCCAATTCCTGGAGTTCATGTTGATACACTTTTATTATAGATGGTCCTATGCACTTAGCTATTGTTCCCCATTAAGAATATCATAGACGTATTCTAGTTATTACAAATGGGGGAAACAATGCAAAAATGGTGGTTAGAAGCCAGGAAGTGGGTGACAATCCCTTAACAGTATGCATGTTATCAGGCCCAAGGGCCGCTTCCATCCTGGTCAAGGGGAGTACTAACCTCTCCTTTCATACAACACTCATGCTAGTTTTGTGGTACTTTGTACTGGCACACGTGAGCTTCCAGTGTGGCTGTCACTCCAGCAGCATTCATCATCAGTCCTCCAGTGGCATGGGCAGTTTTCTACTGTTTGGTGTGTTGTTGGCAGGTGAGACGTTAACAGAGCTCTGACTTAGCCTACCTTTCTCAAGGTTTCAGGAAGAAAAGGCTTTGTCTGGTCTTTGGTATACTTGTTTGCAAGGTTATTTAGGTTATAAGGAGCATTTAAATCTAAATATGTATTATACTGTTGGTTAGATTTTTGCCCTTAATTTAGTGGTTCTCTATGAGAATCTGTTTAGGTACAGATAGAGTATGTAAAATATTAACAAGTTATTTTTGTAATTTTAGAAGTGGGAAGTATGTGTACAAACCTGTCATGAATCAAACATGCTGTCCTCAGTACACAATAAGGTAAGGTTCCTAATTAATACAAAGGAAATCTATACTGTGAAGATGTTGTATGATTTTAAGATGAAAATTCTGCTTTGAAAATGTTGTTAGTAGCTCCTAATAATTTTCAATTGGTCTTAATACAAATATGATATGAAAAGTACCTTTTTGTCCTATTTGGCTGTCTAGTCAGTGAATGCTGGGAAATGCTTATAGTACTTAGCAAAGGACCTTTCCACATTTTAATGTGTTGCTTGTAGTGCTTATAATCTACAACAGGATCCTATAGTGGTGGGAGTTTTTAAACCTAATCTGTCACATATTTAAAATGCATTTTTTTGTCGGTTGTGGGGCTTGAACTCTGGGCTTGGGCACTGTCCCTGCAATCTTCAGCTCAAGGCAAGTGCTCTATCGCTTGAGCCACAGTGCCACTTCCTGTTTTCTAGTGGTTTATTGGAGATAAGAATCTCATGGACTTTCCTGCCCGGCTTTGAACCGCGATCCTCAGATCTCAGCCTCCTGAGTAGCTAGGATTACAGGCGTGAGCCACTGGCGCCCGGCTATTAATGTAAGACTTAAGTTAAAACAGTCTATTTGCTTGACTTGGATAATCTTGGGGGTTGTCTTTGTATTCATTCATTCCACTTTAAAAGAGAAGAATTTTCTCTCCTTTGATTTAAGGTTCTCCCTCCCTGGAGCAAATGTGAAAAATAAAGCTGGGCGCTAGTGGCTCACACCTGTAATCCTAGCTACTCAGGAGACTGAGATCTGAGGATTGCTGTCCAAAGCCAGCCTGGGCAGAAAAGTCTGTGTGAGACTCCTTATCTCCAATTAACCACTCAAAAACTGGGAGTGGTGCTATGACTCAAGTGGTAAAATACTTTATTTTAGCTTTGAGCACAAAGAAGCTCAGGTATAGCACTCATGCCCTGAATTCAAGCCCTACAACCAACAAAAAAAATGAAAATAAAAAAACAACATTTTGAGTGTATTCATTTTCATTTTCAGTGTATATAAACTAGATAAATCAGTTGCCTTAAAAATGTTACTATTGGGTGGGGGGCGGGGGGGGAGGATGGGAAGGGGAAACAAAGGAGGAGGCTACAATGCTTGATAAAAAATGTACTCATTATCTTGCCCATGTAACCCCTCTGTACAGTATTTTTACAATAAAAAAATGTTACTATTAAAGTGTTGTACAGAGGGTTACCATTTCATAAGTCAGGTAATGAGTACATTTCTTTTTATGGACAATATCATCCCTTCCTTAGCTTTCCTCCAGTTTCCTCCTTCCATCCATGGCCATAAGTTACATAGATCATTTTTCACATAGTGTATACTGAATAGCATGACTGCATTTGTTTACCTTCTCCCTCCCTTTCTATACACTTTCACTATTCCCCTAAAAAAGTCTCCCCCCCCCCCCCCCCCCCCCCCCCCCCCGGCAAAAAAAAAACCCCAAAGCAAAAACATCACCACTACAATCACCTATAACAAAAAAACTCACTTTCATTTTCTAGAGCACATTTTGATAGTTTTTTCTTTTTCTTTCTTTTTTTTTTTTTGCCAATTCTAGAGCTTGAACTCAGGGCCTGGGTGCTGTCCCTGAGCTTTTGCTTAAGGCTAGCATTCTACCACTTAAGCCACAGCACCACTTCTATCTTTTTCTGAGTAGTTTATTGGAGATGAGTCTTAGGGACTTTTCTGCTCATGATAGCTTTGACCTGTGATCCTCAGATCTCAGTCTCCCAAGTAGCTAGGATTACAGGTGTGAGCTACCAGCACCAGTCTGATACATATTATTATTTTTTTTTTTTTGTCGGCCGTGGGGCTTGAACTCTGGGCCTGGGCGCTGTCCCTCAGCTCTTCAGCTCAAGGTGAGCACTCTACCACTTGAGCTACAGCGCCACTTCCAGTTTTCTGGTGGTTTATTGGAGATAGGAGTCTCACGGTCTCTCCTGCCCGGGCTGGCTTTGAACCGAGATCCTCAGATCTCAGCCTCCTGAGTAGCTAGGATTACAGGCGTGAGCCACCAGTGCCCGGCTTACGTATTATTTTAAAAGTTCATTTTAACATTTCATAGTTAGACCTTTAGGTTCCTCCCCTAAGAGTATCCTTCTTTAGTCTGATATGGTATCACATTCAGTTATATTTTAGATCTAGCCTCCACATATGCAGTTAGCTTACTTAACATGACTGGTCCATCTTATTTTCTTGAAAATGACATTATTATTCTTTCTCATGGATGAATAAAATTCCATTGTTTATATGTATCATATATTTTGACCCTCTCACTTATTGAAGGGCATCTGGGCTGTTTCCATAACTTGGCTATCATAGGATAGTGTAGCAGTGAATATGGATGTACAAATATCCCTCATGTGTGTGTGTGTGTGCGCGCGCGCGTGCGTGTGTGTGTGTGTGTGCGTGCCTGTCTTGCTGTCTTTTGCTTTCTCCCTCAACTGTATGTTTATTGAGAGTTTGAGTCAGAGTAGAGGCTACATTAAAAATCCCAAGTGTGAGATTGCCTCCATGTGCTAGATTCTACCCAGAACTGATCTTTTTCAAAGCTTTAATTCACTTAAAAAATTATTGTTATGCTTTTCTAGGTGCCATCCTTTGGAGTTCCAGCCATCAAAATCTCACAAGAAAGTTTTGAAAAAAATGTTGAAGTTTCTGGTGAAAGGGGAGGTTTCCAAAGGAAATTGTGAGGGTAAGATGAGACCACCTCTAAAATCTGTTTACTTTAACTTCTCTTTCCAAGGGTATCACTTTTACACCACTTAACGTAGACAAAGGGGTTACTGCCATCCTGTACTTGGTGCTGCGGTACTACTAGCACTGCCATTGCTTTCTCCAGGCACCCAAGTTGGGTACAGAGAATACCTGCCAAGACATTCTGTGTGCCTTGGATAGTATTTGGGGTTTCTTGCATGGTGTTGAAATTTTTGTTTTCCAAATAGCTTAATAACTCATCTTACTTGCTTCTAGCAATGTCCCTATGAGCTAACTAGAAAATCCTCTCATCTCTGGAGAAAGCAATGCTTAGGTGCAAGGTCTACAGGATTGAACAAGCCCCATGAATGCTATCGGTATTAGGGTTTCTGTGTATGCATGTGCATTATTTCAGTACATTATATTGTCGGAACCTGTGTTTCTCAGTTACCTGATGAATCTTGAATTATGAATGACTTTCCTAAAGATAAATAGTAGCATTTAATTAACTTTTGTTTCTAGATATTTTGCTTTTCCAGATTAGTATTTGTGTTTTTTTTTAAAGTTTTTCTATAACTAGTACCTTAAATATGAGTGTAAGAATTGGGAGTGCTAGTCATAGGAAACACCTGACCTTGGGGACCTCCTGCCTTAGCCTTTGCTCATTGACTCATCTCACAAGTAATGTTTGAATATATTCCGTGTCCCAATCACTGCTTTATGTACTTGGAGGTAGGTACCGTGCCTTGCAAGGCAGGTAAATTCTTCACCTTAATGTACAGTGCATGGAAGCCCTTAATGGCCTAAGATTCAGGACAACTTGGAAAACACTTGGCCAAGCTGGAGGCAATGAAGAGGTCAAAATACGTAGCTTTAGAGGTTTATTTCCAGTTACAGAATTGGAAATCACAGAATTTTGGTGCAGTTTTGATTATTATATGTACATAGTTTTGTAGGTTTAGTTGATTTTGTTTGCTGTCAATATACAGTTTTTTGGTGTCTAGCAATCATGTTGCAAAGTTGAAAATTAATGTGCAGATAACATTTTTATGTTTTTTATTGTAAAAATACTGTACCAGAGGGGTTACAGTTATATGAGTAAGGTAATGAGTACATTTTCTATCCAGCATTGTTACATCCTCCTTTGTTTTTTCCCCTAGCATCCCTTCCTTCCCCACCTCCCCAACTCCTTTCCCACCCCCCACCCCGCCAAGTTGTAAAGTTTGTTTTCAACATAGTGTCTTGAATGTCTCATTGTTACAATGGGTCAACCTATATCCTTGTTAAAGCATTTTGGTTTTTTTTTTTTTTTGGTTCCTGTCGTGGGGCCTAAACTCAGTGCCTGGGCGCTGTCCCTCAGCTCTTCAGCTCAAGGCTAGCGCTCTACCACTTGAGCCACAGCGCCACTTCCGGCTTTTTCCTTTTTGCTTATGTGGTGCTGAGGAATCAAACCCAGGGCCTCAGGCATGCAAGGCAAGTGCTCTACCACTGAGCCACCTTCCCAGCCCAAGCATTTTGTTATTTCCCTTCCCCTCCCCAAATTATAAAAATGTATATACAAAGCCGGGTGCTGGTGGCTCACGCCTGTAATCCTAGCTACTCAGGAGGCTGAGATCTGAGGATCGCGGTTCAAAGCCAGCCCGGGCAGGACAGACTGTGAGACTCCTATCTCAAATAAACCACCAGAAAACCAGAAGTGGTGCTGTAGCTCAAGTGGTAGAGCGCTCACCTTGAACTGAAGAGCTGAGGGACAGCGCCCAGGCCCAGAGTTCAAGCCCCATGACCGACAAAAAAAAAAAAAAAAATGTATATACAAGATGCAGGGCACTGACATGAAATACAGTGAAAACGGGGGTTATTACTGTCGGGGAAGAACATACCAAAGAAACAAAAAAACACATAGTACATTATAAATATGTTAAAAACAATAGCAGGAAAGAAAAAACCACTTGTGTCCCTGTCTTGGGCTTCATTTCACTTAACATCATCTTATATAGCCAGATGTACATAGCTTTTGACCTTTTCTGCTTGACCTAGACATATATAGTTTTTTTTTTGTCAGTCGTGGGACTTGAACACTGGGCTTGAGCACTATCCCTCAGTTCTTCAGCTCAAGGTGGGCGCTCCGCCGCTTGAGCTACAGCACCACTTCTGGTTTTCTAGAGGTTTATTGGAGATAAGAGTCTCATGGACTTTCCTGCCCTGGCTGGCTTTGAACCGGGATTCTCATATCTCAGCCTCCTGAGTAGCTAGGATTACAGGCATGAGCCACCGGCGCCAGGCTATAGTTATTGCAAATAAGGGAAACCATGGGACCTATTTTTTTTGGGCCTGGCTTACTTAATATAATTTTTCCAAGTCTTTTCATTTCCTAACAAATGGGGAAATGTCATTCTTTCTGTGGAGGCATAGAATTCCATTGTGTATATATACCACATTTTCTTGATCCATTCATCTACTGAGGGGCATCTGCATTGGTTCTGTATCTTGGCTATGGTAAATAATGCTGTGATAAACGTAGTTGTGCTGGTAGCTTTAGAATAGCCTTGTTTGTGATCATTCGGGTTAAATGCCCAAAAGTAGTATTGCTGGGTCATAGGGGAGCTCTATGTGGAGGCTTTTGAGGAACCTCTATACTGCTTTCCAAAGTGGTTGAACAAGTTTACATTCCCACCAACAATGCAGTAGTGGTCCCTTTTGGCCACATCCCCTCCAGCATGTGTTATAATTAGATATCTTGATTATAGCCATTCTAACTGGAGTGAGGTGGAATCTCAATGTTGTTCTGATTTGCATTTCTTTTATGGCTAGAGAGCATTTCTTCATGTGTTTATTGGCCATTCTTACTTTCTCTTCAGAGAAGTCTGTCTCTCTCTTTTTTTTTTTTTTGTCGGTTGTGGGGCTTGAACTCTGTGCCTGGGCACTGTCCCTGTGTTCTTTAGCTCAAGGCAAGTGCTCTACCTCTTGAGCCACAGCTCCACTTCGAGTCTTCTAGTGTTTTTTATTGGAGATCAGAGTCTCTCGGACTTTTCTGCCTGGGCTGGCTTTGAACCGTGATCCTCAGATCTCAGCCTCCTGAGTAGCTAGGATTACAGGCGTGAGCCACCGGCTCCCGGCAGAGAAGTTTCTCTTTAAGTCTTTAGCAGTTGTTTCTTTGAGGATTTGTTGTTGGGAGATTTAGTTTTTTGAGTTCTAATTAGATATGAGACCCTTGTCCATTGTATGGCTAGTGAAGATCTTCTCCCAGTCTGTGGGCTTTCTATTGATCTTGCTAGCTATATCGTTTGCCATGCAGAAGCTCTATACTTTCATGCAATCCCATTTGTCCAACCTTTCTTTGATTTGTTTTATTTCAAAGTCTTTATTAAGAAAATTTCAGCCTGTGCCAAGGAGCCCTAGAGTTTTTCCTATTCTGTCCTGTAATGTTTTCAGGGTGTGCAGATAACATTTGAGGATGCAGTTCATTTGTAAATTGATGGTTGACTGTTTTAACTTAGATTTTACATTTGGATCATTTTTGACTTGTGGGCCTCTGAGTTCTTTGAATCTGAAGCTTAATTCACTAGACTGATGTTGTAACATCCTAAATAGATATGAGGAAAACATGGAAATCTAGTGACTGATCAGTGATAGTGGTGTATTCCTTCCTTGCATAACAGTCTTGTATGGGTCCCGAGTTGCCCTACTGTGCTCAAAAGCCATTCTGGGACTCCCCTCAATTTTGATGTGTAAAGATGGCTTTGGTTTTTCATATTCTAGACAGTGGGGAGGGGAAAGGGTGAAATCCTAGGTTTGAATTTTTCCTTAAAAAAGTGAAAAACTAGTAGACATGTTACGTGTGTTATCTTCCATTGTGGGGAGCGTCTTCCCAACATGCATAGGGACTGATAACCCATTCTCTTGCCAGGGTGCCACAGCTCTTCTGTAGCTTTGTGCTTTGGAAGCAAGAGAGTGGGTTTGGTGGACACCCAGCTGTCCCTGCCACCATGGACAATAGGGGCACTCTGCTTCTCTGGACTGGGTCAAATGACCTGGCTGATGGGCTTTTTTGATTCTGCTTTGTAGATGAGCCCATGGATTCTGCAATGGAGGATGCTGTTACAGGTGACTTTGCATTAATAAATAAATTGGATATAAAGTGTGATCTTAAAACACTTGGTGATGATCTAAAAGAAAGCCTAGAGAGTGAAGAGAAGAAGAAAGAAAAAACTTCAAAGAAAGAAGACTCTAAGGAATTAATTAATTCACAAGCTATAGAAGAGAAGTTGGGCTCTGGTGAGCCGTCACATTCAATTAAAGTTCATGTAGTTCCTAAGCCAGGTAAGAAACATTTGTTATTAATGTTATATTAGTGTCTGTTCTTTTAGTGTGATTCATTATAATTCCTGGGCTCTGCTGTCTGCCTGAAGATAGACCTGTCTATGAAATCTGTAGCACTGATTTTGGCCTTATATAACTTACTATTAGGAATTTAGATAGTCTTACTATGTATTCCAGGATGACTTTGAACTCACAATCGTCCTGAGTGCTGGGAGTGTAGGCAGGTACACCAGACCTGTCTTTGATTATGTCTTTTTGTTGGTCCCAGGGCTTGAACTCTGGGCCTGGGCATTGTCTCTGAGCTCTTCAGCTCAAGGTGAACGCTCTACCACTTGAGCCACAGTGCCACTTCCAGTTTTCTGGTAGTTTATTGCAGATAAGAGTCTAAGGAACTTTCCTGCTTGGGCTGGCTTTGAACCTCGATCCTTAGATCTCAGCTTCCTGAATAGCTAGGATTTACAGGTGTGAGCTGTCAGGAAAGTCCATGAGACTCTTATCTCCAATTAACCACCAGTAAACTGGAAGTGGCACTGTGGCTCCAGTGGGAGTGTTTGCCTTGAGCTGAAGAGCTCAGGGACAGCACCCAGGCCCAGAGTTCAAACCCTATGACCAATAACAACAAAAAAACTACTATGCAAAGCTAAGCACTGATGGATTATGCCTATAGCCTTATCTACTCAGGGTGCTTAGATTTGAGTGGTGAGGTTCAAAGCCAGCTAAGGTAGGAAAATCTGTGAGACTTGTTAACCATCAAAAAGTTGAACTAAAGTTGTGGCTCAAGTGGTAGAGTGCTAGCCTTGATTGGAAAAAGCTAAGGGACAGTACACAGTCCCTGAGTTTAAGCACCAGTACAGGCACATGTATGTACACACACACACGCACGCACGCACGCACGCACGCACCTACCACTTATAAAACACTTGGAATATTAGTCTTACTTTCCCAAAATACAAATATTGTAAGAGTTTCATTTTACTACCTTATAGACTTTTAGGTTTGAGGATTTGATCTTGTTACTGAAAAGGTATGATAAGCATTATTATATGGTAGTGTGAGAGTATTAATAATAATTGATATTTTGTCCAAAATATAGACACTGTGAAACTCCTTAATTTTTCATTAACTTTTAAGTGTAATTATAATTTTTAGTTTAATGTTCTGAGAATTTAATGCTTAATTTCTTTAATAAAGTTTTTTCCTATACTCTTAGTTACCAAAGGCTTAGGCATAAAAATATTCAACATTAAATGGGACACACATACACACCCCTTATGATTGTGACTTTTTCAAAATATTTTTTTGTAAACTGAGGTTTTGATAATTTTTGAATTATTTGTTATCTGTTAAGAAAATGATCCAAGGAGAGATTATTAGTAACTACAGCCTATAATCTTAGTATTCTAGAGGCTGAGACAAGAGGATGGCAAGTTCTAAGACAGTCTGATCTATATAGACACTATCACAGAAGACAAAAACAAAGGAAAACACGACTTTTTGCAGTTTGTTTCCCTAAGGATATCTCTCATTAGTACTTGGAGACTGTCTTAAACTGTAGGAATCTTGGAGACTTTTCCTTCCTCCCTTCCCTCCCTTCCTTCCCTCCCTTCCTTCCCTTCCTTCCCTCCCTTCCTTCCCTTCCTTTCCTCCCTTCCT